ATGGGTTTTAGACCATAAAATGTTTCAATCATTTTCAAGAAAAACTCCTTTCATTCATATGATAAATCATTTTCAATCATTTTCAAAAAACCTCCTTTCATTCATACCTTAAAGCATTTTCATTCATTTACATGAAAGACATTTTATACATAACATAACATAGTTTAGGCCATAAAACCTTTTCAAGCATTTTCAAGGAAAACTCTTTTCATAAACATCATAAATATCATTTCATATCTTATCATTTCATTTGAAAAGACATCTTTCCACATCCATTCTCTTTTATCATTAAAGGATAATTTCGGTGTTCAACCATTGCCATTTTTATAATTAGGGCCTAGAAATATCCCCAATCTATGCCAAGGTGGAAAGAACAAAATCAGTCCACCAAGGCAGCATTTTCGTTAGGCAATCTATCTCGAGAAGGGGAAGCGCCACCCTATAGATTCCTCTATATCCCGTTATGGGGAGATCATGGCTCGAACAATATATTATTTTCATTACTTTCCATGCTTTACACATTCCATACGTTAGTATCATTCTTTTCATTACTTTCCATACTTTACACATTCCACATATTAGTATCAAAATACTCATTTCAAATGTAAAGCATCTATATTTCAAAAAAATTTAAACACGTTATCAAGACATTCATTCTTCTAAAACATTCTTTGCTTTCAAAAACATTCTTGCCTTCAAGGCATTCTTTCAAAAAAATTCAAAAGCATTTAACACTTTCATTTCATAAAGTTTCATATATCAAACCATTAGTATTTTGTTATCATAAAATCATTTTTTCATGTACCCCAAAGTGGAAAAAATACCAACACGTACTCACTTAGTTCTCCAATGAAGGTTGATACCCCCTTCTAGCTCAACTTCACAAGCAATCACCCCTTAGACACAACCTATAAAATATAGACATAAATCATTAAAATTACCAAAATACCCCTCATGGGTTTGCCTTGCCATTACACGGCCCATGTAATGAGGTCTGCACACACAAAAATCTCGGATTTTCTCAATACAACACTCTACTTTGCATAGTTCTTGAAGACCCTTTTCACATTCACTTTGTACCATTTATTTAGGTTCTCACACGTGTTTAGGAGGTGTTTTATCATCTTAAAACACTCCAATCAATCCATTAAATTCACATTGAAACCTTTAAGATCATATAAATCCTCAAATTCCATAAGAAAGACTAACTTGTCCATTGTTCACTTGAGCATTCCAAAGTTTACAAAGTTTGTTCCTAACTTTTTGCATACTAAAATGAGTGTTTCTAGGTACATTTTATCACAAAATTTCTCAGTGTAAACACCTAGTATAACTTTGGAATCCTCCATTCCGTTCCATATCCCTAAATTACCCTTAAGGCCAATACTCCATATATCAATCTAAGAATCAAGCAACACCTTATGTCTTGCACTCAAATCATTCCAAGATTATCCATTCATGATTATGAACTTCCTTTACTCATTAATTGATTAAAAACAAAGGATTCCATAGATTTCATCATATTGTCCCCAAATCCATTTTAGTCCAAGCTTAAACATGATTCTACCATCATGCATGAGTTTGACCATTCCAATTAGAATTATTGTTGTCAAACATCATCTAGGTCATAGAATACAATGTAATTTCATTATCAATTGCATTATCCTTAAATTAGATTTCTAAGGTTCACAAAACTTTTTATCCAAATCATCAAATCCATTAATAAGATGTTCGGATTGAGATTAGAACCATGGAAACCACTCAATGGAGGTCAGACAACCAAACCCTAAACATTGATTGAAGCCAAATTAGAAATTGGGGTTAAACCAAAATCATGAAATCGAAACTAGAGTTAGAGAAGGAGGTTTTATTCCTTGTTAGCCTTTGAGTTCTTCACAACTTGCACCAAATGAACCAAGAAGGCTTGAGATCAACCCCTCGGGTTCCTATTGAGCTTGAATCGCCATCTAACCTCACCCCTTCTACTTCCATCGTTCTTATTTGGCTTAAATGAAGAGGATACATTCTTATTTTCATATTTGTCACATTTGGTCCCTCTAGCTTGAGTATTTTTGCCAATTCCCACCATAAACTCAATACTTGTGATTTTAACTCAATTTTTGACATAACAAGTCCTTCTTCATCCATTATGTAACTTTGGTAGTCCTTTCCACTCACTAAGTCAACCTTTTGGTCCATACACTTTACCAATTTGACATTTTTGGTCCATTAATTATCAAAATATTATTATTTCCACTTCTAATTTTCTAAACTTCATATCAACTTATGTTATGATTATTAATTAATGATTTAACTATATAAATCATTTTCATTTATTTACTTTATTGGTTTAGAACCGGGTCTTAAATTTTAGGATGTTACACATGGCTAGTTTATACACATCACACACACACACACACATATACACACACACACACACACATATATATATATATATATATATATATATATATATATATATATACATATATATATATATATACATATATATATGTATGTATGTATGTATTCCTCAAAATTATATAAAAACACTTTGTTTTTCTAAGATAACTTTTGGTGTCAAACAATGCATGTAAATTTTTTTCACAAAAAAAATTACAAATATAGAGTTGTTATAGAAAATATGTATAAATTTTCATAAAAAAGAAAATCGTCCTTGTTTTCAAAAAAAAAGATTATACCAAATAATCTAATAATACCAAGCTTGCAAAAAAATGCTCTAATACCAATTGTTGGGTTTTATTCAAAAAAAAAGTCTAAAATAAATAGTCAAAACTATGAGTTTAGCAACGGAAACAATTTTATGTTTGAAAAAACTAAAACAATTTTACCCACCAATGATCATTTTGCAAAGCTTAGGAAGATTAAAACAACCATAGAAAGTGTTACAACCTTTGGAGACTTTTGTTCCTTTGGAAATTAGGAAGTTGATGTAGAATGTAGAGCAAAACTCCTTCTCATCTAGGACACCAACAATAACTCAACTTGATAAATATGCTAGTCTTGATCTTGTAGTTATAGAAAACTCTTAAGTTTTAAGTTAATACTGAGTATTAACTCAAAGAGAGTTAGAAAGTATCATCTTCATATCACCATGTCTTAACCCATTTAGAGAAAAAAAAAGATGCTATGGTTTTGCGGGAGAGAAAATCCAACTAAAAACTACCAATATCATTCTATAATGTCTCTTGAGCATAAAGATCTTTCATGTTGGTCAATTTAAAAAATCTCTATAACTACTCATTATATGGTTTTTTTACAAATTCTTCAAGTACCTCAAGGTTATATTTCTTCATGGTCTCTATATTTCATTTTCATCCTTTCTAATCCTGAAGGTTACTAGAAATATAGTGATATGGTGACTTGACTAAACGATTCTCTACTACTGGTTATTGTTTCTCTCTTGCTCATATTCTAATATCTTAGAAGAGTAAGAAACAATTCATTACAACTCGTTCCAACATCAAAATTGTATATCGAGTGTTGGTCAATACAACTCAAAGATTAGTTTGGAAACTTTGGCTTTTAGCTATTATGAATACTCCTCAATCTCTACTAATGTTGCTTTGATGTGGTAAAATTAATTTTATCCAAATTTCTCACAATGATGTTTTTCATGAGTGAACAAAGCATATTGATATTAATCAGCGTACGAATGTATTCACCAATGCATATTTTCTGAGTCATTTTTAGTTATTAGTTTCCATACTTGAGTTGGATTATTTGGTCCATACTAGAGTTTGAGATGTGGGGAGGGTAGCATATGTTTAAGGTGTTCTCGTTACATTGGGGTTCCCTATTGTAATTATTCGTAGTTAGTGGCAGTTTCCATATTTAGTCCTAATTCATCGGATTAATATTATTTTTATAGTAGTCAGCAGTTTACCTCCCACGTGATAGGTCATAGGCCAGTTCGGCATGAACCGTGCAAATGGTGCGGTATACTATTGTATATTGCTAGTGTAGTAGTATAAGTATACTGGTTTGTTCTCTATGTTTTTTTCCATGCATCTTGAATACAAATCGTCGATGGCTTCAAAACCTCTATACACATCGATTTGTTCCTCATTAATCACTTGATTCATCTTTATGGAATTATAAGAGTAATAATTTATTTATTTAATATACTCTATGTTTTTATCAAATTATACGACATACTAATGGTCCTTGTGGTTTGCAATAGATATCATGTTGATGATAACTATCAAAACGCTACGTGATTGGTCCTTGTGGTTTCAATATCAAGCATGCTTAGTCCTTTTAGGTAACTCTGTAAAATAAGAGGGTCTGCATACTTGTTAAATGACTAATTTACTTCTCTTTTTTCTTTATATAATTTTACATTTTATTGTTTTTTACATTTTATCATATTAGAACCATAACCAAACATCATTTGAAAAATGACAATACATCTCGATGGCCATTTCTATAATTTAATGAGTTGGGTGTTAAAGAAAAAGACACATTTCATTTTATCTACTTTAATTTAGTAACTCTTATTTTAAGAGGGTTTGCATACTTGTAGCGTTTCAAACATTTGTTCTCCACTTGAGATGTATTCTATTTTTCATATGTTATAAACAATAAAAACCAATCCTAAATTGTATCTATTTAATATATATATCATTCAGTTTCTTACCGAGATTTACCATTGATTTATGTATACGCCTATTAGCACAAAAAACATCTACTTTTTCACAAAAATATTGTCGACAGTAAATTGAAATACTACTCTATAAATTATTAGGACATGTATACCTTTTATAAATAAAAAAACGTTTAAAGTTCAGCTAAGCCGCACCATAAAGATGGCTTCACCTTTTTGAGCTTTTGTCAACGTGGAAACCACATGCCCCCTGACTCAGCTATTCTATATATCACCCACACTCGCAGTCACAGCCCCACACAAACCCATCGTCTCTGTCTCAAAAGCCTCATTCCCTCCCCTCAGCCCTCATTCACTACTCTTAGCTTCAACTATGGCCGACAAATCATCCACCAATAACCGGAAGCCAAGTAGGTTACAGCGAAGAGCTCCAGCGTCCATTCAGATCAGTCCAGTCTCCAACTGGAACGTTGCGATTCCTCTGCTATCGCCTGTTGAGAAAACCAATCGTATGAGTAGTAGTTCAAAAGAGGAGTCGCGAAGAGCTGCTCATACAGTGGTGGAGCCGGAAAAGAAACCGGTGGTGTATAAGAAGTGGCAGCATCCGGCGGATCCGTTTTACTACGAGCCGGCACCTCCGTTTGTATGTAGTGGTGTTGAGTTTAGGAGTTGATTAGAATTCCTAATTATTATTACTTCTTCTTCTTTCTCTTCCTTTTGAGCTTATTTCTGATTTGAAGAAACTCGATTGGACTGTGTTCATATAGCTTTTACAGCACTTGGTGTTTGCATAACATACATGTGTTGCTTCTTTGACTACAAATCAGAGATCAAAGATTCGAATAACATGGTAATAATGTTTGCAATGAGATATACAAATACAACCCAGTGACTTTATTCGTAAAACGAATTCAGATGAACCCAGTGATTTATTGTTTAATGGTAGATATGAGTCCAATTCGTTAGAACTAATCAAAGCTGATAACTGTCCATTTACCAAAGCTTAATGATATTTGTTTTGGCATTAGTATCAAGTGTAATGGCAATGAACATTATTAGTTTATAAATATTAGGGATAATCTAAAAAAAACGACCATATGATTATATGGAATATAAGAAGATGACACAATGTTCTCTCATTAACGGAATAACCACAATGCCCAAAACATTATATTTCAAAATAAACCAAATTAACTTCGGATTGTAGATTACCATTGAGACGTGGCATAAAACAATCTAAAATCTAACATTTTGGAATTCCCTTTTCTGAAATCCTTATATTGACAACATTTTGAATTTAGTAAATTTCAGACAAAATTGCAATATGTTAGAAATTGGAGGTTTGGTCCAAAATATTTTGGAGTTGCATGAGTGGTTCAAAAAGGTTTTATTTTTGTGAATTTGGTTCAAAGTTATTTAAAAAACATTTAAAATGATGAATTTGCCCTTTTAATTTAGTTTTTTTTATTTTCTTTACAACAATTAAAAAAGAAAATATCCTCTCTCTATATATATACAGATTTATGGGTTTGTTTGTTCAAAAAAAAAAAAGATGTGTTCTTAAGCAAAGAACATGAAACCAAGAACCACATATCTCTAAAAAACGATATGAGTTCTTCATTGTGGATTTAGTCTTGGATCTAGTCGCTTTTCCAGATCTCAAGAAGACTTGTTTTTTCCTGATTTCAAGAACAAGAACAACTCGTTTTTTTAGATATGATGAACTGCCCTCATCAGCATATGCATTGATTTTACACCCAGAAACCGTTCACCCTTGAAAAACCCACCAGCACTTACCTGATTTCGAATTCGAGAGAAGAGGGAAAGATTGTGATCGATTAGAAAAGACGGAGGAGCAAATCGGGTGTGATTTTTGTTGCCTGAGTCGATTAAGAGCGAGTTAGGACCTGGGAAGGATTGCGATAGACTAGAGAAGAAAGAAGGATTGCGATCGATTAGAGCTCGATCAATTCAGGATAAACGAGAGTGAAGGGGACCTGCGATTTTTGCTACCGGAGTCGATTAAGAACGAGTCGTAGAAAAGGGCAACGACGTAGATATGAGAAAGGGGGCCGACGGCATAGATCTGAGAAAGGGGCGACGTAGATCTGCTTCTTTTCCGTTCGAGCTTCTGTTCGTTGTCACACCTGCTTCAGATAAGATCATCGAGAGGTTCTGGTTTGGTTAGGGTGTGTGTTAATCAGATTTCGTATGTGTGTATGTTCATCTGATTTCGTGTGTGTGTGTGTTCATCATATTTCGTGTGTGTATGTGTGTCTTCATCTGATTTCGTGTGTGTGTTTTCATCAGATTTCGTGTGTGTACATCTTATCTGATTTTGTGTGTATGTGTTCATCTAATTTCGTGTGTGTATGTCTGATCTGATTTTGTATATGTGTTCATCAGATATGATTTTGTGTGTGTGTGTTCATCAGATATAATTTCATGTGTATGTATTCATCAGATAGGGGCGAACTCAATAACAAACCCAAATTTTGAGTATGTTTTGTTTATGGGATGATTTTTTGGCTGAGATGAAGTTTGGGTGGAGATAGAAGTGTCAGACGGTGGTGGTGGAGGACTATGGTGGTGGCGGAAGGCGGTCGAACAGTGGTGGCGGCAGAAGATGTTCTTGATTGTTCTTGAATCTATGAATATGTTCTTGGATGTTTATCAAACACATACACAGTGAGAGAGAGGTGTTTTCTTTTTTTAATTGTTGTAAAGAAAAATTAAAAAAAAAAACTAAATTCAAAGTGCAAATTCGTCGTTTTAAATGTTTTCAAATAATTTTAGATCAAATTCACAACAAATGAAACCTTTTGGACCAATGGTGCAACTCCAAAACATTTTAGACCAAACATCCAACTTATTATTTCAATACATAATTGTTTTTGAAAATAAGTTCATCTAACTAGTTTCTAGAGTCTCCTTTTATACTAGGGAGTATGTGGGAGCAAATCCACGTGTGTGTGTATATAACAACAACAGATTCCACATGCTATAAAGTGGATTTGAATTATGATATCAACTTTTGTAGGTTGATTAACTTTGTGACTTCCAAATTAAGGTTACAAACAAATCAAATATGTTTGTCTTTCTAATGTTCCATAACGAATGTTGTCATGAAGATAATTGACGACAATTATTTAAATTATTTTCCAAATGTTATTTCACTAGTATGCCTTTGAATATAGTGTTATTGTTTGTTGTCAATCTTGTTGTCGAAAGGGGAATTAAGCGAGTAGTCACATATCAATCTCCTACTTTGACTTGAAAATTAGTCTTGCCTTGGGAAAATCAGTCTGGTTCTAAAAGCACGAGAAAGACTGGGAGAAGATTATCTTTATTTGCATAGAGGTAAACAAGTTACTTATGATGAGCCTATATATATATATATATATATATGATGTTGATAAATCAATAAATGATTGTCAAAAGTTGATGTTGATTGATGATTCAAATATAAGTTCACAAAGGGAATTGATGGAAAATTATGAAGATATATCGAACATCAACAAGGATAATTCTGATAGAGCATTTTGATAAGGATATTTTGGGGTTTTATTATTCTCATTTTGCATAAACTTAAACTTTGCTCATCACTTCCATTATTATTTGACAAAATTGCAAATTTGGTCCCCGTGGTTTGTCAAAAATTGGAACCCTTGGTCTAAAAAGTTTTAGAGTTGCACTGGTAGTCCAAAATAAGAATTTTATTGCAGGTTTGGTCTAAAACTATTTGTAAAAATATTTCAATTGACCAGATTTACCCTTTTAATTTTTTTAACCTAAACCCCCGCCCAACTCTCTCTCATCCCATTGGTTACGTCTGCACTAGAAAAAACCCATCAAAAAATTAGATCTTCAAAATAAATGAACAAGTTCTTTACAAAACAAAGTTGTTACAACACTACATCCCTCCCACTCTAATGATACTTATTCCTTTCTATCAAAGTTGTTATAACAGCACAAAAAGAGTTCCCAAATGTTTCATCTATAGCTGAACAAAAAGAGTTTCCTAGTGTTGCAATTCCTCATTTTTTGTCTCTATAACTGAACAAAAAGAGTTTTCCTAGTGTTTCAATTCTTCAAGTTGTTCATTCTTTTGTATCAATTTGGTATGTAAATGTTTCATCTGTTCTTTGAAGGTCTATACATTCAACATCTCATATAGCATGTAATACAATTTCAAGTTGTGTAATCTCGCTTTCTTACAAATTAAACATGGTCTGGTGTTTTTGGAATTAATTAATGTTAAATCCTCCGATAGTCTCCTAGAAGTGCATCTTTCGTTCAACAGTTGTTTGTAGGATGACAAGCTTTTGTTCAACTTTCGTTAAGTGGCTACAAGTTCAACAGCGGCTTCAAATGATTTCACAACACGAACCCCCCACGAAAACCCTTGATTTCTCATCCGATATATCATTTTGTTGGCTGAATCTGTTTGATTCAACTTACAAAACTCCTTGATCACTGCATTTAGGGGAAGAGGGAGAAATAATAAGAAATCGTTGTTCATCTCACCCAACAGCCCCCTAAATGCTCCATTAATCAACCTTAGGGTTCCAATTCAAAGCCTAACCTTGTCATTGTTGGCACCAACACTTGCGGCAGAGCAATGCATCCCAATCCCTAAATCGTGTAGATGTGAAGTATTTCTTCTTGGTAGTGGTGTCAGAGACGTGGGAATCATTGGTGGTGGGGTAACTATTGAGAGTAGAGATGAAAATTTAATTTCTAGGTTTCCTATATCTAATTTGATGTTCTTGAGCCATTTGTTGATGAAGAACTCTTTCTCCTTTCTTTTTGTTCGGCGTGTTCATGATTGTTGGTAGTTTACACACCCACACACACAGAGAGTGAGAGAGAAAGAGATAGGGTGGGTGGGGTTAGGTGGTATTTTATTTTAGATTTTCTTTAATTGGTATAAATAAAACAAAATTAAAAAAATTAAAAGGGCAAATCCGTCATTTGAAATATTTTCAAACAGTTTTGAAGCAAACCTGCAATAATATTCTTATTTTAGACCGCCCGAAGAAACTCCATAACTTTTTGGACCAAATTACCAAGTTTTGACAAATCATAGGGACCATATTTACAATTTTGTCATTATTATTTCCTAGAACTATTTAAGATAAAACTGTAAAATTTGTCGTTGTGGTTCAGCAACAACCGTGGATAGGGTACAAAAAGTTTCTGACTTGAATGGAATGTCCAAAATCAAGAATTTTCCGTGATTTTGGTCCTAAAAAAGTTAAAATGTCTATTTTTCCCTTTTAGTTTTTTTTTTGTCTTTTCTTATTTTTACTTTGATACTTTTTAAGAATAATTAAAAAAAAAAAAAAAAAAAAAAAAAAAAAAAAAAACACCCCCTAAGCCCATTGTTCTTCCCCTTTGACTTTCTCTCTATCCTCTCTTTCTCTCTCCAATACACAACCTGCAACTCAAGAACAATTTCAGAAAATAAAATGTCTTGTATTTTTCGTTAGAATCCAGGCTCTCTGGCGAACACCAGAACTTCGATGACCACCGGAACTCCAACATCACCTCTGTAACCGTCTCCTCTCTCTTTCATCTGCAAAATCTTACTTCAACCTGAATCATCTACTGCGATCACTCTTGTGTCCCTCTCTCCTCACTCTCAATTTCTACATCAACATTTTCCTAATT